CTTCTTTCCATCTGCTTCCCAGTCCTTTCAAGGTCCTTCTTCCCCCACCCGCCACCGCGACGGGGGGGCTTGCACACGGTCCCCATGCCACCGCCACTCACGCTCCTCCTCCCCGAGCAAGCGAGGCGGCCCGACCCCGCCCTGCAACCGCAAACACCACCCACAGGCCGCAGGGCTAAAGCCCGGGACGTGGGGAGCGGGAAACGAGGGAAGCCCGGGCTCTCGGGGCGGGGCGGGGCAGGGCGGGGGGGGCGGTGAACGCACCCCTACCCCCCCCCCACAAACCCGCGCGCGCGCCCTCGGGCAACACGCGCTTGGGACGACGGCCCCAACACAAAGCCACGCGCCACACGGCAGAAAAGCCCAAGGCCCGGCCCGGCGGGACCCTCCCCCGAGCCAGAGGGGGAGGCGCGGGCCGCGGTAAGCAAAGAGCAGGCGCTCAGGGGTGCAACCCCTTTCCCGCACACCGCAGGGAAGGGAAGACACACCCGCCGGGCGGAACACCCTCGACTCCACCAACACACAGGCGGAGGAGTTAAGGGGGCGACTCTGCCACCAGTGGCTACTTGGGCGCAGAAGGGGGAGGGGAGCCAGCCTCCGACGGGGAATCCGGGTACCCCAAAACACGACGTGACTGGACTACCCCTTTCTTTTCCCCCCAGCATTTCGCAAAGATCGCTAGAGAAGGCTTTCTCACCGAGGGCTCGCCGGCCCCACCGACAAGGCAAGGCCCCCTCTCTTTTCTCCTCCTCGGGGGCCGCGGGGAAGCCAAACACCACACGTACCACCCCCGCGGTGTGGCGGGGGGGCACGGTGGGGGGGTCTGCGGTATGGCCAAGGCACAAAAGGCAACTTGAGCGTTCGCGGCCGGGTCCGTGGCCAGTCCCGGGAGAGAGGCTCACAAAGAGCCCCCAAAATCCCAGCACCGCCTAGGCCCCTCCAACGTAGGAGGAGGCGGCGCGCACAACGGCCCGCCACGATCGCTCACACGCCCACGTGCAGGCCCCCCCCCTCCCCCCAAGGCGGGGAAGGGCAAGGGCACAGGACGCGCGCTCGCCAAGCCAATCGGGGACACCCCGGCGACAGCGCGCCAGCCGGGGGCAACGAGGCCACCGCCCCCTACAACAAACTAAGCAGGGAGGCGGTCGTGCCGGCCCCTCGCTTCTAAACCGAGCTCGACCCCCAAAAGAAAAGCAAACAGGCGCCTCCGAAGAAGCACCGAGAGCGGGCGACCCCGAGGGGAGAGGGGGCACAACGCCGGGAGCCGGGCCGACATCGCCACTCGGCCTCCTGCACCTGATAAGGACAACCCGGAGCGCTCCAGGAGCACCGCAAGACGGCCAAGGTGGGACGCGACCGAGCGGACGCGTGCCGAGGCGGGAGAAGCGGCCCCCGCCACCGCGGCGGAGGGGAGGGCCGCCCTCACAACACACGCCCCACCCCGAGGAGGGGGGGCAAGAGCGAGCAGGTACGCTGTGTCAAAACAGTGACCCCGCGCGCACCCCCCCCCGCGCCCACACCGCGAGGCGGCGAGGCGGGGAAGGAGCACGGGATCGGGGCCGGATTCCGCACCCCCCGGCTCCCCACACACCGCCCAAGCAGGCGGGGAGGAGAGACGCGGGGACCCGCGGGCAGAGCGAGAAGAGCGGTCCCATTCGCCATGAACGTCCGTCCCTCGTCTGGCGCGGCTTAGGCCCGGCCCAGGAGAGCATGACATCACCACATCGATCAGCAGGGGTGTTGACAGCGGCCGTCCCGGCGGGAACCCCCAAGCGGAGAAGTTTGCCTGACACGCAGCACGGGAGCCTTCGGCGGGGCGGGGATCCCCCAAAGCGTCGAGACCACACCGCGGTGCCCGCGGCGGCAGGAGCACGCGAGGATGGAAGACGCTCCCCCGCGCCAACACGCCGCTTTCCGCCGCCGCCCTCGGGCACCAGAGGCCGGAGGTGGCACCGCGGACCGGGGACCACCCCTGAACTCCAAAAAAGGCCGGCACGCAGGCCCAGCGGGCAAGCTCCGAAACCGGGCAAGGTAGCAGGGAGGCCAGGGCGCCAGATGGTCAAAGCCCAGGCAGGCACAAAAGCCACTCCCCCTGCGAGAGGAGCCCAGGGGACGGGACGGCCCCCGGTCCCTCGTCACAGTGGTCGAGGGAGACCGTGTCAGCACTTACCTGGTGACAGAAAATACACATTTTGGGCCGAAGATATCACGGTGCCCAGAGACGCGGCCGAGCTGCAGGTCACCGCGGCCCTCCGAGGACGGTGGCCGGTCATCAACCCCGGCGACGACCCCATCGGCGGGGGGTGGGGTGGTGGGGGTGGGGGGGGGGGTGGGGGGTGGGGGGGTGGGGGGGTGGGGGGTGGGGGGTGGGGGGGCGGCGGCGGCGGCGGCGGCGGCGGCGGCTGCTCTGCGCTGGTGGAAGGGGGGAAGGGGGAAAGGGGGACCCCCGCCAGCCCACAACCCCACACCATCGATCCGGGAGCTCCTGGGGTTATCTGGTCAACCTCAGGAGCGTAACCGGTCCGGGGGTCCCGCGTCGCTCGCACCGGCGGCGGGAGGGGGTGGGCGGGGGGCCGCTCTACTCTCGCTGCCGATTATGACTTCAACACGCAGGCGCAGGTGAACACCAGGGCCCGACGGGGTGGGGGGGTGCCGCCGGCTCACGTGCACACCCGGCCCCCGGCGTCAGCACGGGAACTCGTGGGAGATAAACGTTCACGGAGGAACGAGGGAGAGGGAGGCGGGCGAGGGCGGGACCGTTCCTCACGGGCTCCCGGTTCCCCGCCCGGGACTTAGAGAAAAAGCAAGGAACTTGGCAAGAGAAAAATGAACTTGGCGACGACGTCCCCTCGGACCTCCGGGCCCCGGACCCCGGACCCCGGACCCCGGCCGCTGCCGGACCCGTGGCGCACCATAACGCCCCACCTTGCACGACCGGGCCCGTCCCCTACCTCCGGAGCGACACAAAGGAACGGCCGTCCGGCCGCGGGACACCCGCTTCCCTTGCTCTCGGCGGAGGCCCCGGCACGCTAGCGTGGCGCGGTGCGGTGGCCCGGTGGGGTGGGACGTGCCACGTAGGAAGGGACGCGTGTCACCGGCGGGTGGCTGGTCAACCCGCCCGGGCGGCCCAGACACCCCAGCCCGCCCGAGGACGCGGCGACAGCCACCCCGCTATAGACCTGCACCTGCAATCCCGGCCGCCAGGAAGACTGCTGCACTCCAAATGCGAGCGGATCTAGCCGGCTCCTGCCGCCGGCCTCCCGGAACTCCGCCTCGGGTAACGCGGCCAAATCTCCTCCCATCAATCGCTCGAGCGCTCGGCGGAGAGCCGCTGACATAAAAACGGCCGCCAGGTGGCACCCGACAACCGGCGCGAACAGCAGCGGGGCCGATCCGGATCTCAGGCCGCCGAGGGCTCACCGCCGGCCGCAAGGACGCCCGGTCTCGTCCCGGCCACCACCGTCCCCCCCCACCCCACCCCCCGTTCGCTCCGGGCGGCCAGCGCCGGCCGGCTCCCCAGAGCGGCCACGAGCTGCGGCCACGAGCTGCGGCCTGGCAGCCGGGAAGACGTAACACACAAGAGAACCTCCGCAGGGCCGACACGGGAGGCAGGTTCCAGGGACGCAGGGAACGACCGAGACCGCGGGGCAACCCGGACCTCCTTGAGAGGGAACCGGCTAAGCCAACCGTCATCCAAGCTCCCTGCTAAAGGGTCTGAGGCCTGGCGCAGTGAGTGATCCAAAGCCATTGTCATCTGCAGGTTGGCTCACTGAACAAATCTTTCCTTAGAGAGCTTTCCATCTAAGTTTCAGCTGATGTAAACATAATTACTCCCCCCCACCCCACCCCCTCACACCCCACCCCCGCATTCTCTTGAGGTGGCAATGATACAATCTCGTCTTCAATTTCACCTGTCTCCAACGTGAGCACCATTGTGTCAATTTTTTTCGATGGAGCGCCGTGGAGCGCGCTCGCTTATTTGCTTATGTGCACAGTTACATTTAAAAAAAAAAATTTATTTATTCATTTATACAAGCACTGGGTACAGTCAGAAGCTTGGGAGGGCGAGAGAATTCACCAGAGCCAGAGCGGGGAGCAGAGCAGGCAGAAGGACCGAAGTACACTGCTGAGGGGAGCAGCGGGCGGCAGGAGAGGTCTGCGCGCCATGTGGGACCCTCCTCTGGTGGCCGGGGAGCGTGGGGATTGAACCGGCGCTGCAGAGGCCGCGGGCAGCTTCGCAACCCAGCGCTCAACAGCTGTGCAACCGGGGAGGCCCCCACAGTTACATTTTGAACAAGGTTGGGCAGCCGGCCAGCTGGTCTCTTTCTCTCCAAGCCATCCCCAAATGCCTGATTCTTTCCCCTTTGCCCACCGCGGGCCCCACCCCCACCCCCACCCCCACCTTGTCTAGGAACTTGGCAGCAAATGGTTGTGTCCTGCTGAAAACCGATGCTATCAATCTAAGGGAGCTGTGTATAAAGAAACCGTTTGTCTTGGAACAGGTGCTCAGACCCGTATGCGGCTACCCAGGTCTGGGACCTCCTGCATGAGTAATAAAGTGGTTCCTGACCTCACCCTTCCTGAAGCACCGCTTGTTTCTTCCTCTGCCTGGGTAAAAGGCCAGAATTTCTACAACACTCCTCTCCCGCACGCTCCCCCCCCCCTCCCGCCCCCAACCCCCACCCACCCCCACACTCCCCTTCCAGAGGAAGCCCAGGCTTGGCCAAACCGCGCAAACCCAGCCCCGAAGGAAAGGGTGGACTCGCCGGTCCCAGAAAAGCCAAGACGGCGGGACCGGTCTCCTCGTCGATAAGACCACCGCCACAAAATCCACAAACAGCATGACAGCCCTGGATGCCCCACCAGCCTTGGGCAAGAAAGAGACTTGGTGAAAAGGGCAAAGAAGCTGGAGGGTGGGGGGGGGGAGGAGAGGAAAGGGAGGGGAAGGGAGAGGAGGGAAGAGGACGAAGAAGCACTTCACCAAGGGCGAAATGTTTTCC